GCAATATACCGATCAATTTATAAAGTGAAAGACCACCTGATACTTCCACATTTTACAAGCAAAGAGTAAACTAAAAGCCAGTGCAAATGTATTAATTCTTTACACATACATTATCAAGAATATAACTATTCCAGCAATATACCAATTGACCAAAAAATTTTATTGAATAAATTGAAAGACCACTTGATAGTAGTTAAATAAAGTAAAAGACTACTTAATAGTCCATAAAGGTATAATCCAGATAACTCATTCTGCCTATGTTAACAAGCAAGAAAATAAGTACTAGAAGAGTTAAATCGAACCTGTCCTTGAGAGCCCACAACCTTGTGAAGATGATCAACCATTTCCGCTGGCAGGAATACATTGGTGTCCTGTTGAGAGATGAGTAATATATAGCATGTCACTATCCCCCTGATAAAGAGCATTTGGAACATGAAAACACTGGACAACATGATGATCTAGTGGATATTCTTTGTAATTCTTTCAAGCTACTCGCTCCAATTCCACGCATTTGGTTTATTTTCTCTCAAACGACTTCTCAAAGGAACAGATTGCTTTGCATTCCACTCATATTGACAGACAATACTGTTCAAGTACTTTATTAACAATCCAACATCGTATGATTTCTGCTTGAATGGCTAAATTCACCTGATTAACTGACCTGATCTGAGAGTAGTATATAAATGTTTGTCTCAAGCCCCAAAGAACTAAAACTATATAAATGTCTATCTCGAGCTCTGAAGAACTAAAATCTGATCGATTCAGTTTATAGTGCAACTAGCACTGACATTTAAACAATCGTAAAAGGGTATAGATATAAGACAGATGCGTACATGACATTGATTTTTTGCATGGTCTGTTGTTGAAGCTACCCTCCTTGCCTGCTTCTTCTCGATTACACTTGCTGAATCCTTATTCTTACTAGTAGAGACATCTCCTTCTCTTGCAGACATAAGTAGATCGTCCAAGGACAAAAAATTGTTATTCCCATTTCCAAGTTTACACTGCATCATAAATCTTCACGTACTCAATAGCCAAACACAATTGATGATTCAGAATTCCACTAGAAAGGCCGCCCACAAAAATAATGATACATTTTTAGCAGCAATCTAGTTATATAATTTTCATGCATGATCTTCCACTTGTGCAAATATCGACTTAGAACAAGGCCCTACAAGTCAGCCAATAGCGCTATGCCATGATCGCCATTGTTGCTAGCACAATACTTTAAGCAATTACCAGATATGGCAACAGTGCAGGTTACAAACCCTGCAAGGTACAGTCTCTGCATTGAAGTTTTCTAGCAAAACACAAATACTTAACTTCCAAATGCCAATAAGAGAAGAATTTTATAGATAGAGACTAACAGTATATATGCAAGGCAAGACTCAAGAGTTATAAAAACAGGTTCCCTGATAGTATGTGGGAAATTATAAGTCTGCTTTGTTTGATTTTATGGCTGAAGCTGTTCCTCGCACTAGGTAATATACATAACAATAGCAGCAGAATCATCTGAGATTAATGTTTCTTCTATTGAATAAATAAAAGGAAAGAGTTCCACATACCATCATTGATCTGATAGTATATCTGAAGGACATTTCTCGCCTATCCATTAAATAGAAAAGCTTTGACAAGGAAACCTTCTTTTCAGCTGCAGGGCAACAATTTAGTCAAGTAAAGCTTAGGAAGTGGCAAAAGTAAACATTCTTAGTACATACCAATTATAATAATGTCTTCAAATTGATCATCCTTCTCTGTAGGAGACTTCATGATAACAAGAGCATCACCAAATTTCTTCCTTTCCATACCATAATCAACAAAAGAAACCACCTACTAAAGAGATGGCACATATTTTGATTCCACAAACATTTTCAGCTCAAACATCATTTCAACAAGCCATTTCTTTTCCATATCCACACCTTAATGCATGAATGACGATAGAGTAAGCTCCTGCATTCTTTTCTCATTCTGGTATTATTGATCCCAACATAGCATTAGAGTGAAAGAACTCATTTAAGAATAAAAATATCACTTGGCTAAAACTGCAAACGGAATACATCTTGTAAATGAGCAGAGCCGGTTGAACCCACAAACACCACCGTCAAGGAAATAACTGTGATAGGCTTCGTTGACAAAATATATCAGAACGCACATGTGCATTCTGGCGTAGATGTCAATCAACCATGCATGACACTAAGAAGCAAGCTAAGCTTTCTTCCCTGTCTTTCTTTAATTCGTCTCTTTTTTTTCCTTTTTGAGGCTTTGGGTGAGGTGGGGAGGGGAGGCAATGGCAATGGCAGTGGAATGCATAGCGTCTTTGTTAAACAACCTAGGATGCATACTGACCACATACGTTGGTCAATGCAACAGCTACACCTTAGACCAATAAGAGGGCAAACTCTAATGTATAGATTCTCAGACATTAAAAAGTTACCTTAGGGCAGAGAAGCGAAAGATTCTCGATGTCCTTCATATTGACTTGGATCCCAAACCTCCCAATCCAGCTTAGCGCTTTCTTTACACGATTCGTTGTGATTCTCTCCCGCTTAAGTTGTAAAAATACTTCATAAATGTTTAAGAAAGTAAATGCCTTCATTATTGTCAACAACCACAGTGGGCACAAGCATGAACTGATATTCTCTTTGCACTCTCCAAGAACACCTTTCCTTAAACTGCCTTCACTGAGAAACAAACAGCTTTCAGTATCCGGACTTTGCAGGCAATCAACCGACTCCAAAACACTAAGAAGTTTCTCGTGATTCCCCTCATCCAGCATATCCTTGCTAGAAGACTGCAGTATGCTGAGGACAAGATCATCCGGCCATCCTTTCGTTTCGCCATCTGAATTCCATTTACGCTTCCCAAGAGACGAACAAGATGCGATATCTCGCCGATCAGTTTCCACTTCACCATCAGAAGTTCCACCCCGTAAACCATCGCGTGCTCTCTCGTCCCTACTCGTCACATCGCGAATTTCTTGAATCATGTCAGACCACGCGGAATCCGCAAATTTGGAAATGGGCGTCTCGTTCGGGCCAGTAACACCAGAACCACAGGACGCCTGCGCCGGCGCCGGCGCCGACTGTTTCCTGACGACCGGAACGAAACCCACCACTTCTCCGACATCGATGCAGTAACTACTGATTCGATTCTGCAAGCTCAGCTTGACGCCCTAACACACAATGGCCAGAGAAACACGCGCATGAGAGACGAACGAAAAGGACAATTGCTCAAGAAATGGTCGCGCTCATTCTTCTCACCGAAACAGAGTAATCAGCGAAATGCGGAAAAGGGGAAAGAGCAACGCTTCGAAGGAGAAAGCGGAGGGAGAGGACCTTGTGATAGAGGTTGAAGTTAGGGTACTTGGCGGCGAGAGGGAAGGTCTGCTTCAATAGATGCTTGAGGTCGCGGACGGTTTTGTCGGTCGGAATCGAGACGGCGGTCGACTCGCCGGTTAGGGCTCGGACTTGGATCGATCGCTCGCTGTTCGCCATTTCCAGGGAACTCGATTGGCTGCTGAACGGCGGCGACGGCGGCCGGCGAGCGGCGAGCGGCGAGTGTTCGGTTTTGATTCGAGAGAAAGAGAGTTTTGGGAATTTGCGGTGGCGGGGAATTCAGATCACGTGCCCTGAAACGGTTGCTTCCAGCAACGGCACGTGATGGGGTCTTGATTTTCCCTTTTCAGTTTCATTTTTGAGTTTTTCTTTTCCTACCTCTTCATTATTCGTTTTTTTCTTTTAGACAATAACACAAATAGTCCATGAACTTTGACTTAATGAGCAATATGGTCCCTGAATCTTTAATTTGTTCAATATAGTTCCTGAATTTTAGCCCAATGTTCAATGTAGTATCTGAAATTTTAATTTGTTCGATGTTTGACATGGAACAAATTAAAAGTTAAACTTTAACCTTGATATTGAACAAATTAAAGGTTCATGGACCACATTATATATTGAGCTAAAGTTCAGACACCGTCTGTTTCATCATCTGTTTTTTATTTTGTCTTTTCATTTTGTCTTCTGCAGACGAAATTCCCTATAAGCTTGAAGCCGACAACCTTTTCATTTATTTACGGTGTCTCGATATCGATACTAAATTTTGATTGCAACCGGTGAAATTCAAATACAAGTCAAGTAGATTACCAATCAAAATAGATGTCAATAAATCCAAACATGAGTCAGTAAAGTTGTTAAACTACTTCCTGAGTTTGAGTTCGTATATTAGATCTATCAAAATGGGTCATAAACCCATTTTTTAACTCATATATCAATAAATGGGTCATAAATGAGTTAGTTATATTCTGTAAATGGGTATAAACATAATATATATGTTAAATGGGTCATAAATGGATTGATAATTTATTTAAACTTAACTCATCTTTCTCGTCCTTACTCAAGCTCGCACTCACTCACTTTGCACTTATGAGTTTTCCTAAATTGAGTTAAACATGAAAGTGTTTTAACAATATGGATCGGATCAGATATGGGTCGGATATGGGTCAGTGGATTTGTATTACATGAAAATGGGTCAAAACGGGTTAAATGAGTTTATTTGGATCCGACCATTTTCGACCCGACCCGACCCGACCCGACCCGTTTGATAGGTCTACCGTATACGCACCTGGCCCAATGGGCTCAATTGGAGGATGTGCAACAGTTTGTTAAAAGGAAACAAAAATCCCAGCAAAACTTTCCTAATCAAATTAGATTTCCTTCTTGTAGACTACTGCATTCACATTATGTATAATATACGGCGGGTCTGTTGCCTGTTGGAGTCCAACATCGAGTTTGACCGTGGGTGAGCAAATCGAATCCAAGTTTTCTCTTCCTCCCTTCGGTATAAAAGCCGCACAAGAAAGACAAAAATTTAAAGGGGTAGCTCTTCGTTTAGGCCGCACAAGTGAAACTCCCACAATTTTGAGGATTCGTAGGTATAAAGTGATTGTTATCCTGTAATTCTTCAATTGATTTGTGGATTATTTGTTATTGCTCTGCTCATGGGATTGGTGCCGACACTCGAATGCAATTCTTCGATTGATTGGCGATTTATTTGTTATTGAATCTTCACGTGAATTAATTTCGCATTGATTTAGCTACAAGAAGATTGTATAGTCATGCTTACAATAGTATCGGCATGGTATTCAGAATTTTTCCTTTGTTAGGAGTATGTTGGATTTCACGACCACTTCCTCTCGAATTCTGTCGCAAGGGGCTCGTATTTTGCAGGGACGGCCCACGTCAGCAGCTCGTGTCCGGAGGCGTCTGGAGCCCGCTCGACCGCCGCCTGCTGCGGCGGAGATGGTGACGCTGGTGGCGGCGACCGCCGCGGACCCGGCTTCCATCGGGCCGGCGTCTTCCCTTCTGGCCATGCCCGGTTGGCACCCAGGCCCCACCGTGCAGGTCCGCCATCTTTGTCTCTGCATCCCGTCTTGCGAATTGCGAGGAAGAAAAGTTCATATGTTTTTTTGAGTTCTCTCTTGTTCGGTTCTTTTGTAGCCATTAGAATAGATAGATTATCGTCACAATAGCTAGCGATGCAGCTTTTGCGTCTACCCTTTCTCTGCTGAAACGTTGTGCTGGCAGCCTGGCCCTCATGAACAAATTAGCACATAATTCCTGCACAGAATCACTGTTGATGGCAAGATTTGGTTTATGCCGCAGCGTTTCGGCCGCGAAACCGGAGGCTTCGGAGTCCTTAGTGCTCAACTTTGTTGTCCTCAGTTTGCATTTCCACAATTCAAAGCAATGGCTTAGCAAATCATTAAAAACCGAAGCCATTCTTTTCAGGGCATGCCGAGTTTTGTCAATGAAAAGGTGAGGCTGTTAAAGCTCGAGAACCACCTCGTGAGAGAGGATCACCTGGACAAGCGTTGGGAGGAGGCGACGGGTGAGTCGGTCGACGAAGTCATTTTTCTCAGCAGGCACGTTGCAGCGTCTAACCGCCCGGCGCTCACCATTCATCCGATCGGTATGATATTTTTCATTGGTTGGAATCTTGCATTCATTCTTTTTGGCCTTGAATGTTGTTTAACGAACATAGGACACTGAAAGGCTGTTGTTATGCAATGCATTGCGTGTCCTTAGGTACACCGCATCTGCGTCAAGATGAGGTTCCTCTGGCTGGTGGGAGGCCAGGATGGGCGGCCCCTCCAAATCCTCGGATTGGGCCCTGGCTGAGGCTCTTGAAGAACATTGCCGAATCACACAAACTAGTTCCCGAGTTTGAGGTTTCCGGATTCCCATTTCGTAACTTTCTGCTGCAGCTTTTATGCGTTGAATTATACTAAAGATAAAATCTCTTTGATTTACTTCACGCTACTTTCTTTATAACTTTTGAGCATGTAAACAGAGATGATTGGTTTTGCGTATCGGCTAGATATAATGTAACAGGCACTCTATCATTTGACTAAATCATGCTTTCTTGAAAGCCAATTTCGTTCTTCTTGACGTGTATAAATAATGCAAGATCATCTTCTGTTTTCTCCTCTCAATATTTGGAAATGGCAATTTGGAAAGCAGGTGATAAAGCTATTTCACTTTCTTGTCTGGGATCTGGGATGAGAAAAGAATAAGAAGAAATGGCAGTATGTGGGAAATTAAACTCTTAAGGGGTTTTCTTTACTCTGAAAAATTTGCCTCGTAAGAAATAGAGGCTCTTCCACCCTAATTCACTTTTCTTTTCCTCGTTGTTCTTGTTGGTCAATCAGTCAAACACTTCTGCCATTTACAGGGAGAGAAACTCCTCATGCTCTGTCGGTGCTTGTTGGATTCTACGAGTATCTAGGCTGATTAATTATGCGTCAGTCATGACAACTATTCATGCCTCAGGAAGCCTTTCCAATTTACGATCTCTATATGCATGAACTGATTTGAAAGCATGAAAGGAAAGGATTTGGAATCAGTAGAAATGCACCGTGGTTTATCATCATCTTTTCTCCCGAATCTGGTTTTATAACATTAAAAGGTGGTCATTGCTGTTAAGCTCAGTTTTGTTGTTGGTTAACGAATTGGTGGGGGAATCATGCATAGCATTCTGTTTTTATGCCTAATATCCATGAAACTATTGGTTGATAAATGAACTTCATGTCCACCTGCAGGTCACTTTGGAGGCTACACATCACGGACCAGAAATTAGTTCACCAACAATGTTCGTAGAGATTGGTAACATGTACAGTTTTAGTTGCATAATTTTTATTGTTGATAGCATTGGCCCTTTTGACCTTTAAGCTTTGCTGAGGATTAACCTCATGCATTTCAATTTTAGTCTTTTCTCATTCAGTCGAGGATTTTTTTTCATTTTAGTGGTTCATAGATCGCTATCTTTCTTCAATAGGTAGTACAGACGAGTACTGGAAGAGGCAGGATGCAGCCCAAGCTATTGCTTTGGTGAGTACTTGTGTTGAGAACTATCACCATATGTGTTTTTTTCTGTTACTACATATATATCTTAAATCCTGAGTAATAGACTCCAATCCCATTCTTTTGAGGACTTGTAGAGGCATAACACTTTGAACTCAACTCTATTCAAGCCAGGTTTCTCAGCATGCTCTTCATAGTTCTCACCAAATTCAGAGTTGGTCATAAATATCCCATGTTTTGTGGCTTATGTCTTATGCATTGGTCTTTACTCTGGACTGTATTTCCTCATGTAGCTAGAAGGTCATTTATTTTACTTGCTTGTGAGGGCCTATTAGTCACTTCTACTGTTGTCTGTAAGAAACAGGCAAATAGGTATGAAAAAAAAAAGATGTACAAATTTACCCTTTCAAATAATGTTGATGAAAGAGCTTTTCTTCCTGTATGTAGTTGGTTTGGGAAGGACTAGGTCTAGGAGGTGGAAACAGTGTAGGAGACTGGAGCAGGTAATACTCAGTATCACTGTCGGTCATGTGCTACTAAATTTATGATTGTGTGTTTTCAGTTGGATTCAGTTCAAGAAGTCTTTTTCACCTTTTTAGCCCTCTAAACATTGCTGCATTATCTGATATGCAGGAAAGGTGATCAACCTAAAGTACTTCTTGGAATTGGTGGAGGGCACTATGTCCCTCGGCATATGGACATTGCGTGGTAAATTTCTCTTAATAAGGATTAGTTAATTGTTATTTCCACAGTCAATACCGGATGCTTCTAGCCTACAATGCAATTTTAACTCTGCTCTTTTGCTCCCTCCTAAGTTTTCTTTTCTCTGCATATATCTTTTATTATTACAATTTATAGGAAAGATGGCGTCTGGGTGGGCCATCTATTGTCTGGATATTCCCTGCCAATGGAACAACCTAGTGATTCAAAAGAAGTCAACTCAAAGGGTGTGGCAGGAACGTGGAGAGAAGCAATCAAGATTGCATTCGAGACCACCAGATTGGCTTTCCCTGGAGGAGAAGTGCTAGTCCATCTTGATCTTAAGTCAGTATACGGAGTAATTCCAACAAGTTTTAGAAATTATGTCATGCACCGGCTCAGGCATGCACACAGAGTAGACATTCATTATACCTACTGTGATAATACCTTAGGTTGCTAGTTCAACTATCTCCAATTGTATTTTCCTGAAAGACATGATTTTTGTGATTGCTTGTGTTCTTATAGTTTTCACTCAATTAGTCTATGTCTAATCCTGCCAATGCCATTGGCGAAACAGGAGTTTCAAGAGCTGGCAGAGAAATGCTGTTACTGAGTTCTTAGCGAGTGAAAAGATCAAGATTGGCAAAGCTGGCGATTTCTACTGATTCTAACTAATAGACACCAGTGGCAGGCCATTCATATATACAGCTCGTAGGTATGAATCTTCGTTGGAGAATTAAGCAAACTTGCCAACTCTCCCACGATGCTGTAGAAAACAATCCATTCCTCTTGACAACCAGGATCTGTTCTCTCTCTCTCTCTCTCTCTCGAGCATGGTCGGAGGTCGACTGAGGCATTGCTTTTTGAGGCTGCGTTTGTAGCAGAATGACAGTACTATCTTTTACAAGTGATTTGACATCTATTTCAAATATGCCATTCTGCAGATACAGGCCCGCATATGATCCAGCTTGGCCATTCAATAAGCTCATTATATTCCACCGACATTTTGTGCGTGTTCCAATTCTTAGAATACACGAGGGAAGATATCTAAAAGCCATTAACGACACGTTTAGGGTCCAAGTGGCTTGCCGAGGCATGAATCTGAAATCCGGAAGTGCTGCCACCACCGGGAGTTCTGGAAGTTGGAAAGTGCTGCTAAGGTTTTGTTTTGCGACGGTTGAATTTTGCCTTCTCAGAATCTTCGAACAATGTAGCAGATTAAGCAAATTGGCGAGATACCCCCTTACCGTATATCTTTGTTTTGGTGTCTCGAACATGGCCATGCACATATCACTTATTTTTGCTGGTCTTAGAAAATTCTTTTGGCTTCTCCTATTGTAAGAACAGTTTAAAAAGGTATCCTCGTGTTTTATCGGGAATAAATTGGATCAATCCATTATCTACGTTCTTGCAGTTTTTGAACTACTAAACATCAAGGTGTGGCCATCAAAATAAACAGGAAAAAACATTACTACACATCAATTATCGGGGCAACAACATTGTCCGTAATTGTCAGGAAAACTCTCCCTGTCTCTCTCCACTTCTTACCATGTTGGGAATGGTAACCGACCATGTTGTTTTCAAGCATAAGAAGAGAATATGACCTGATATCTCTCTCTGGTCATTGAATTGCTCTTTTCAAATTCGAAATGGTCGTGCCCACTGTGATGATTCAAACCTTCTCTTTCCTTTCTCAGTTCTCGCTCTGTGGAATTTCGGAGTTGACGATGGAACACGGTGGATTGAGGAACGTGCACGACATGGACTGTGTGACTAAGTTCTTAAGGCATCACATAAGCCACTGGGCGTCATGCTTCCGGGCATTCGGGATGAACTCAGGTAACAGAAATTGTAATTGGAAGCTTAAAGCATTTGATCCATGGTTGTGATTCGACCATGAGATCCGCCTTATCTGAACCAAGCACCTGATCACTCGACTGACTTGACTTTCAGTGTACAGTTATATTGATCATAATTTGATGGGTGCGTAGGTTTTGCTCTAACATCCTCTTTTCATTCTCGTGTTTGGAGAAGAACAAACAGGAAGCTATTCCCCTTCAATACCTCCATTGGCAATCAGAAATGCGAGAATCGACTCTAACAACTGCAATACAGACGACGCAATCAGCAGAAAGTTCTCCCGAAGCAGGAGAACCAACAAAGAGAGACGGGTAGATAGGCGCACCATTCCGACTCCAGAAAGGGTATCAAACAAGATTAGGACTAGTTTTGCAGAAAAAGATTTCATTGTGTTCTCCATAAAAGAAGATGGGACGTTCGATATAGCTAAAGATGGCAGCTCACAAACGTCCGTTTGCCAGGATGACCGCGGGCTCAGGAGCTTAAGATCTGTAAGCATTAAGGTTAGTGATTGATTATTGAGATTTTGTGGCAGAAAGCAAGAATCATTCAACAGTGAGAACAGAAAACGAATACAGTAAGAGAACTTGATATTCTTTCCTGTTTATCATTGTAAAAACAGCTCAAATCGAGAGGTGAGCAAGAAGCATCGGTCCAAGAATGTAACGAAGAGACATCAACTGGAGGTTCCCCAGTTCTCATTCCTGATGATGAGGTAGAGCTTGTCGATCTCTCTCTGACTTATCCTGTCTTGAGCAAGAAAAGATGTCCTGATTTTGCTGATTTAGCGACGACGAATCTCTCTTCCTTTCGTTAAGAGTAGCCAGTATCTTCTCTCTAACGCCTCTGCCATAGGATGACGAAGAAGAGAGCATGTGCTTGGAAGAAGACAACCACTTTGGCTGCGCGGGAACGGGATTTCGAATGGAGGGAAATGGAGATTGCACTCGAGGATCGACAGAATCAAGACACTCTGGCCAGTCTGATGGAAGCACCGACTCGTTTACGTTTCCCGTGTAAGTCAAAAGCTTGTCGACCTGTTTTCTAATTTTCGACCTCTATTACATATGAACTTCCAAGAGTTTTGCTTATGTGGTAACAAGTTTTGACAACTATGCAGGCTTCATGGGCAGTGGATTGGTAGTCCAGTGAAAATGCCAAGATCTGAAGACCTCTCTTTGAGGAAGCCAACAGCAAGTTGTCTTCGTTTTAAGTGCTGTAAATTCTGAAGAATCTTCCATCACTCTCCCTCCATTTTTGCGAGTTCGTACAGTCGTTTGAGCAACCACAAACAAACAGCATTTCGACTGTTGCGCTTAGAATTTGATTCTGATAATCTGCCTCGAATGCTTGTTCACGGAGAAGGGGAAGCAATCAAATTTGACATATTCATCAGTGTCAAAGATTTACAGATGACCAACGCAGAAGCACTGTATATTTTTAGCATTAGTTCTTCGGTTTCTGGCAAAAAGAAATAGAAAAGGAAAAGGATTGGCTGTTCAGTTGACGCAAGGTTTTTCTTTATTGTCATGCACAAGTAATTTACGCAATTGACTAGCACATATGATAAGGAACCTCATTATTATAAATCAAGTTATTGAATATTTGGAACAAATCCCAAAATTCAAAACTACCGGTTATCCGTTAAAGACCTAAAATTCCTAATAATAAACCAATATCGCCTACACGATTCACTACAAACGCTTTTTGACATGCAGTCGCCGCACAAGGTTGTGTGAACTAAAAACCTATTAATAGATAAGAACACATTTTCAGACCAAAAAAAGAAGAAGATAAGAACACATTCCAACTAATTCCCCAAAAATATAAATTTGTATCAAATTGGAACTAGTAACTAATCCCAACATGGAAGCACTGAAAAAACTCATATAAGCAAAAAAATCTCAAATATCCTTTGATCATGAGACATATAAGGTATACGGCAAGAAAGACCAGTGCCTCCAAATAGAAGTTGACTCTTTTGTCTGTCAGTGACTTACTCACGTATCTCGCTCGCAATCTTGTGCTCTAGGAATTCGAATCTCAATAATACAAAGAAGTAACATTACATTACATTACATGCAGTAGAGTTTTACAATGAGGAGACATTTTCACGAAAGACATGTACATGGCATCAATTAGCATACAGCCAATACAAACAACCCAGGACACCCGGAGACATTTTCACGAAGCAGAAAAAAAGAAGTCAAATCTCAGTGTTAAGCATGTTCCCATCCGCATTTGAATTCATCATCACAGATATTGTCGGTTCTAAAAACAAATGACTGCAGATACGACCTTGCTTTGGCTGCAAGGGCCAAGGATTCCTCGTCTTGCTTTTCCTTTGCAGCGGCCACGGCAAGGATGTAAGCTTGTCTTGCTTCTTCCATTTTCTGCATCTTAGTGACATCCAAATCTTCCTGCATTTTGAACCAAACTTGAAAATTCAGTTGCGAGTTTTAAGGGTTGAAACAAACTCACAACTCTAGAGCTCCAGACACTAGGGGTTGTGTCCTCGAAGCGACTCAGAAGACGGTTCTGATAGGTGATGCCTATATAGAAGTTGCATTCTTGGAGACACTTTGACTATGGTGGTTTAAGCATTCATGCAGAATTCTTACCATTCTATAGACAGTTTCTATCCACAGTGAGCTGAGTATGGAATTTTGACAAGTAAATTGTTATGGTGGCATTCCCAGGAACAAATTCCTAGTACACAAACTAGAAAGAGACAGTTTTACTGGTAACCAGATCAAACGATATTTACCATTTCCGAGCGAGCCCTCATATTCCATTTCCTCAATTAGTAACAACACTATGTTTTCATTGTCATCTATTTTTTTCCAAAATCAAATGAAAAATAAGTAGATTAAGCTGGAGGTTTTACACGGGCAACAAGCAAGATTAAATAGTTCCAACTCATTAAAAGTGCACATGCACAAGACCTTTTATGCGATAAAATTACAGAACATCTTTGCAGAAATTTAATCCTAAAATTACAAGAAAAGAAAATCCGTAAAAGGTTAACCTTTGCATCCTAAAATTATGACCAAACGAGGGCGATAGTGCTAAGCACATCTTCCTAATAATGTGCTAGATTAACTGCTGATATTACAACACAAACGGCTCTGACAAAAATCACTCTTGCTTCTTATAATTAGTAGGTTAATTTCAAAGTTCAAAGTTCAACTTTCATCAATAATCCTACTAATATAGTCTGTTAATTACAATATCATTTGGACAATTTCATGGATGAAAGATGACACTTATTTGCTCAAAAGTCAGTATATTCCATGGGTTGCACGTGGTTACCTAGTAATAATGAAGAGATGTATTCACATATACAGAGCAAGAACAAGAAGCAACAATCTGGTCGAGGTAGGTATCTTACCATCCAAGGAAGATCATCTGCACGATATGGGTTGATGTCAGTATCTCCACTATATAGAGTTGCATCATGCTCTGTCAAGCCCTCAAAAAGTGACACGATCAATGAAACATCACCCTGAATGGCATCAAGCTCCTCTTGGAGCTTTTCTACTCTTTTGTCAGATGTCATTGCTTCCCATTGTGTCTTTTCTAGTGCAGCTTGCTTATCTGCGAGTTTAATCTGAAAATAACTCGTATAAGTAATAATATGAGTGAACACCGTAAGTAATGTTAGCCATGGTCAGATCCCTGCCGCCAAGGGTAGTGGAAGTTCCATGGATCATTCATAAAGACACAGTTGATCATAGAAAAAAGCTGTTGCACTCATGTCGATATATTAACATAGGAAAAATAAAGCTTTTTAGCTTTTCCATCATTTTGAACAAACTCAATATGGTTTTGAGATCTCTAAAAGTTGTTGCCCACCCAAACCATTGAAGGATCTTATAAATGGCTCAAACAGCAGTTTAATAACCGATTTTTAACGAATCCAGTACAGGCTCGGGTGTTCAAATTAAAATTCACTATGAAACGCCAATTCGGAGCGCTATAGACATAATGAGGTCTCAACTCTGTGATACTTATAAGTCATTAGATACAGACTATAATCCCGCTCGGAACATTCAATACGTTCCTAATCAGAGTTAAAAATAAGCTCGATACCTTTGCATCAGAAAGCTGTATCTGGATGGACTTGATAAAAGAATCTTTTTGTGAAGCCTCATGCTTCAACTCTTCAACTTGTGCATGGACAGAATTCATCTGGTTCTTCAAAACTTCTGCTGATTTGAGAAGTTCTTCTTTCTCTAGTAATTTCCTTTGAAGATCTTCCACTTGTCCTCTTAAGAGCACCGACTCTTCTCTTTCTGCTGCCAAACCTCTTGAGGAGTAAATTGAGAAGTTGTCAGCATCTTGATTGCTGCCACTCTCATTCCTACCTTGTTCTTTATCACCAGTATCCCTTCTCTTTTTAGCAGGGATGGATTGAGCTGCATTTCTAACTTTTGGCTCGTTTACCTTCATCACATATAATGACGACAGTTAGACATTAAGTCATGCTGTCAAGGACATAACAAGACATTTGAATGCACAAAACTGAAAGGACATCATGACAGACGCAATTTAAAGTTTTGCATTAGGAGAAAGAACAAAGAATACAAGACCAATACGTAAAAAAGACTAGATGTTGACTGCCGTCTGCCTTCAGCAAGAATGAGCATTTTCTAAATTGTCCAGTATACTTCACAATTCAGCTACAGAAATCTTTTAAATTGCTGTAGATTTTCTGGCAACGTCTTGTTTGTTTGTTAAAGAGAAACCCGTAACAGAAAACTTTCCTTGCATTAAAAGGCTGGATGCCTCTTCCAAGAGCACACGTGAAAAGAAGCCAACACTCCATAGTCCTCCACACTTGCAGTCAAGATTTCTCTGTGTACATGAACTAGTAGGCACATAAATGTGTGTGTGCTGCATTGACCTTCCCTATATACTTTAAAAAATTACCATGGATTCATATTCAAGGTTCAAGCTGATTAAGCACAGCGGGGTAAGCACATTGAACAAGACAGGAAACACCACGGGGTAAGCACATTAAAACACTGTAGTGTTCTTACTTTTCTGGACAGAGATTCTCTGGAAGGCGTCTTAGTATAGACCACGGATCCCCGTCGCGTGAAAGAACTGCTCGGTTTCCGATCCTGATATAAATCAGTACAAAGAAAATCTCAGTAAAAAGGAAAGGAAAAGCAACATAGAGACAGTAAAGACAGAGAAAGAACGCTCAATTCACGACAGCTATCGCGTTCAATTGCCCCAAATCAAGAAAGAACAACATAAGCAATCTACAGCATTCCGTTTCCTTCGTCAACTCCTCTTTTCAATGCCGCCAAAAATCCCCCACCCAATGCACACTATCGCATTGAATCCGAGACACGGCGCTTCACCCTTCAATCCAAAAATCTAAAGATAGACCCATCCGGAAGAACGAAAGAACAAGAAACTCCCAAGAAGCCGCTCAAATTCAAAGATCGAAACGGACCCAGTGCCAAGAAGTTCAAGAAAGAGAGAGAGAGGGTACGATGAGGGACTGGACGAGAGGGACGATCTCGACGAGGTCGTTGAAGAGGACGCGGTCGACGTTGGCGGCGGCGGCGGCGGCGGAGGCGGAGTGAGGCGGGAGGTGGGTCGGGGAGGACGGGTTGGCGTCCCCGGAGAGCCAGAGCTTCGGATCCCCCACCGCGAGACCCGAGTTGCCGTCGCCCCCCAAATCCACGAACCCCCGCGCCTCGAACATCTTCCTCCCAAGATCGATCGACCGACCGGGAGCGAGAACGACGAAACGAAAACGGAAGAAAGTCTTGCCCGTTCGAACGGAGGAAGGCGGAGGAGAATGTGCGCGGGAGGGGGAATGGATGATGATAAGGGGAAAGATGAAATGGCAGATTTCGGAGGAGCGACCGTAGCAAAGCGCGACTGTGTAGAAGAAGAAGAAGAAGAAGAATAAGAAGGGAACTCGGTCTGCTGCTGTTTCTTTTCAAAAAAAGACCCAAAGGGAAAGCGAATTATTTCCGTTGGCAAACGCGCGATATGACGGAATTGCCCCCCCTCCTCCTCTCGATTGCCGGCCCGGGCCGCTCCCGCTCCCCCCGCCTTCTCACAGCCCACACCGGTTATCAACGTCAAGATACGCCCGCAGAACAAACGCGGCACGGCCGTGCCCCTTCCTTTGTAGGCCGCGTTTTAGTTCGTGAAGAAATGATTGATTTGAAAAGGGACACGCTTTTTTTCCATTCCCTCCGTGGGTAAAACGATCATTAACACAGTATTTTGACAATATTGCTCGTTGTGGACCCCATTTTTTTTAGCGTCCCCTTTATCCTTGTTTTTTTTTATATTGATGTCTTATTTCTTTTTCTTGTGAGTCCCATATTGACTTTTCTTAATCTTCTTCATCATCTCTCTTTTCGTTTTTGGTCCTGCTATTTCTCAAGAGGCGGAGAAATAGATAATCATGAAGGTCACGACCCTTGTGCTCGCATATCCTAGGTAGGGCCACACCAACCTGCCACCAGGACTTCAACGAAACCCCCCCTTTTAATACATGCTCTTTGCGAGAAAATTTAGCAAATTGGTCGGAGGATATTTTCGACAGCTGGATGGAGAGAAGGTGAGGAAATCGATTGTCAGTCTCCGAGAGGTAATGAAATGTCAAAAGGATTTGTTTGTGAGCAACGCTGCTTTTACGAATTTCATTGATTCTTTATGCACAAAAGAGTTTTTCGATGAAGTGTTTTAAATTGCAGAGAGTATGCCTCAAGGCGGTGGCCCTCAGTCTCCCCATCACCCTTCCCAACTCCTTCTCCTCATCGGTGCGAACTGCTCCACCTTCGTCCGGCTCACCAAATGCAGAGTGCACAACATCATCATGCCCGCCAGTATGCAGCACTCTTCACAAACACCATCCCCTTATTGTCGTAAAACATGTGACGTAGAGCCTTCACTTAGGCGGCTGTAGAAGATGGTGTTGTGGGTCATAAAGACCAATTCAGTTGCCTCCGCCTACACAAGTAGGGAAGTTTCCATTTCTCTACCTTTTCTATTGTTGTGAGTGGTTATATGAAAGAGAATGTAGAGAATGAAGAAGATAAAGAAAGTGAATGTGGGACCCACAAGAAAAGAAATAGAAAATTAATAAAAGAAAGAAGACACGATAAAAAAAAACTGGAACAACACTTTCTTAAAACATTGGCAGAAGAGGGATGCTAGAGAGTGAGACCCAGAAACGATCATTAACACAGTATTTTGACAATATTGCTCGTTGTGGACCCCATTTTTTTAGCGTCCCCTTTATCCTTGTTTTTTTTTATTGATGTCTTGTTTCTTTTTCTTATGAGTCCCATATTGACTTTTCTTAATCTTCTTCATCATCTCTCTTTTCTTTTTTGGTCCTGCTATTTCTCAAGAGGCGGAGAAATAGATAATCATGAAAGTCAAGCCCTTGTGCTCACATATCCCAGGTAGGGCCACACCAACCTGCCACCAGGACTTCAACGAAACCCCCCCTTTTAATATATGCTCTTTGTGAGAAAATTTAGCAAATTGGTCGGAGGATATTTTCGACAGCTGGATGGAGAGAAGGCGAGGAAATCGATTGTCAGTCTCCGAGAGGTAATGAAATGTCAAAAGGATTTGTTTGTGAGCAACGCTGCTTTTACGAATTTCATTGATTCTTTATGCACAAAAGAGTTTTTCGATGAAGTGTTTTAAATTGCAGAGAGTATGCCTCAAGGCGGTGGCCCTCAGTCTCCCCATCACCCTTCCCAACTCCTTCTCCTCATCGGTGCGAACTGCTCCACCTTCGTCCGGCTCACCAAATGCAGAGTGCACAACATCATCATGCTCGCCAGTATGCAGCACTCTCCATAAACACCATCCCCTTATTGTCGTAAAACATGTGACGTAGAGCCTTCACTTAGGCGGCTGTAGAAGATGGTGTTGTGGGTCATAAAGACCAATTCAGTTGCCTCCGCCTACACAAGTAGGGAAGTTTCCATTTCTCTACCTTTTCTATTGTTGTGAGTGATTATATGAAAGAGAACGTAGAGAACGAAGAAGATAAAGAAAGTGAATGTGGGACCCACAAGAAAAGAAATAGAAAATTAATAAAAGAAAAAAGACACGATAAGAAAAACTGGAACAACACTTTCTTAAAACATTGGCAGAAGAGGGATGCTAGAGAGTGAGACCCAGAAAAGGCAATATAATCAGATTATTATGTTGAATAATTATTTTCATGAGAAAAAAATAAGATTATTCATATTGCTTACAAAAGAAAAGAATAAACAAAAATATATTTTATTGCCTGTGAAAATGTTTAGACATAAGTTGTTATGGATAATGAAAGTATTTTTTATTGACCGATCATTTGGAGCAATATATGCGATTATTTTTAGAAAAATATTTTCCAAACTATCAATTTTCTACGAAACAAATGGAATTAGCCTTCCACCATGTCTGACACCCCTCCTCGAAACATCCACGGCCTCTTCACATTTATGCCCGACCACTGCACACAGCCCGTCTACGTCAAAAGCCCTGCCGCTGGCCCTCAAAACCTCCCTTTCCTTAGACTCCGTATGTTTCAAGGAAAATAACTTCCGGGATAACATTTTCCGCCGTTCACTCCATAGAAAATAAAGTCATGGAGAACATTTTCTACCAATGAAAAAACATCTTCAAAAGTGGGGAAAATGTAAAGCGGAAAACGTTTTCCATATCTTCTTTCATCTCACTTTCTTTTAAATAACGCATTTTCCTTTTTATTTTTATTATTTATTTATTTTATTTTTAAAAAATCGAGTTTTTAATTTTTAATTTTTTCCTTTTTTTTTTGCTTCTTTCTCAACTAGAGCGGACCACCAGGCAAGCTTGAGCCTTGTCGGACTCGAGCTCGCCTGTGGTCGGTGACTAGTCAAGCAAGGAGAAAAAATAAAAACAAAAGGGAAAAAAATAAAAAGAAAAAATAATTAAAAATTCGAATTTTTTGGTAATTTTTCCTAGAAAATCAAATTGGATATCAAACGGCGAAAAATATTTTCCAGCTCATTTTCAATATTTTAGCAGAATACCGGAAAAATATTGTCATTTTTCTAGAGAATGGCTTTTTGGATGTCATATTTTTCGCGAAACGAATGGAGCGTCAGTCAACGGGCATTATTTTATCTTTTTTACATTAGTTTTCTTTCTGTAAGATGAATAAGAAAGGAGCGGCGGTTGGTCGAGTCAAGGCTTACTACTTTAGTCGGAAGAATATTTGTGTCCAATCAGGATAGGAACAGTTCAACCTCCCGTCCAGAGCTCCTCCTTTGGTCATCGGTTTTTGCCGTGACTTGTGTGGCTGAACATGAAATTATGTATCTTTGGATTATTCATTCAATTCTTGTAGTTTTGTATCGATTGGACTTATTTTTGGAGTCTGAATTTCAATGAAGCGACTTGCGTATCGATGCTTTTCGATGTCTGCATGTCAAATGAAATTTCCCTTTTCTAATGGGAAAGTTGTCCAAATAGTCCTAAACCTATTGTACGGCGGCTAATTTAGTTCCAAACCTTTTGACAACTTGCCAATTTAGTCTTAAATCTAACCATTGTGCCATTTAGTTCTAAACCTTTTAATAATTTGCCAATTTAGTAAGAAATCACTGACGTGATAGTCTAGGGCGCGAATGACAACATTTCTCTTCCCCGGCCCTATTTAGTAAATCCAGCCAATTTTTCCCCTTTTTTCTTTTTTCTTCTTTTATTTTTCTTTTTCCATTTTTCCCTCCACCGGCCATTGCCGGGGCTCGTCGATGGCCGACAAGTGGAGGTCGCCGGCCTCAGGCTATACCACGTAGGACGGTCCATGTAGGATGGCCGGCGCTAACTATACCGCCACGTCAGCAATTTCCAACTAAAATTGGCTGGAATAACTAAATTGACATCAAATTATTTAGGACTAAATTGGCACAATTGAAAGTTTTAGGACTGAATTAGTCGCCGTACAATAGATTTAGGACCTTTTGGATAATTTTGGGGTATGGATTTGTCATTGCCCCCTGTTTTGTATTTTGACCCTTGGCCGACAGCGTGCGCTTTCGTATGGCAAACTCTCGTGGAAAACTCAGACGAAACGTTACACGAAACGTTACAGGTGTTAAGTTATCCGATTTTTCACACAACTTCGAAAGGAATATGCCGTGGCATTGCACTCGGTTGGCAATTTGATATGCTCTCTCAAGCAAATCTTTTTTCCTCATAAAGTGACGAATCGTTTGAACTTTGATTGTTTCTACTTCTTTGGAAATAGCAATCCATTGGCTCGTGTACCTTTTGCCTTTTCCGGTGCTCAGACTTTGGACACGTAGCTCGACAATTTGACTTGTTCTAGTTGAAAACTTCGAATGATGTTTTCAAACGGATGAATCCAACGGGCACACGTCCTGTATGATCGATGATTTCAATGTCTTATTTTGTCATTACGTAGACGGGATAATTATCCTACAAATCCTAAATCTATTGTATGCCTGCAATCGTGGGCATGGACACCGGTCGTTTTCTATGGCACAGCCGGTGTAAAATGACCAGCATTGACGTAGACAAATTTTTCAATTTTATTTTAAAATTTCGGAATTTTTCTCTTTTTTTCCTTTTTTTTCTTTTTCCTTTTCATATTTTTCTCTGTTGATTGTCAGGGTCTTACTATGGCAGGCGAAAGTCACGGACCACAGGCGAGGGCGTAGGCGAGGGCATTGGATGAGTTGCTATGCCCTCGCCGGTCATCGCGGAGGCCTTGACTACCGCCGGAGGGAAATAGAGAAAAAAGAGGAAAGGAAAAAAAGAAAAAATTCGGGAAATTTACAAAATTGTCCATGTCAGAACAGGTCATACTACGTAAAACGGCTGACATTGACTAAATCGTCACGTCAACGATTTCTAGACAAAATTAACTGGAAGGACTATATTAGCAAATCGTTAAAAGGTTCGGGATTAAATTGGCCAAATCAAAAAGCTTAGAAATGAAGTGACCGTCGTATACTAAGTTAAGGACTTTCTGGACAATTTTCCCTTGCGCAGACTGATCAATCATGGCACACATTCTGTACGATTGATCATTCCAATGCGCTATTCTGTCACTGTGCAGCCTGATCAATCGCAGCGTACATTCTAGATGATTGATCATTACACCATGCGCTTCGATTTCATATACTTATTTGGCCTTTTTTTTTTTCGTGAAAAGCCCTACTTTTGTAACATTTGACGACACATATGCGGACTTCATTTCGCAGTAATGCATCACATCACATAACCACAAACATTACGACTACATTCTGTCTATACTAACTTAATCACCAACCTGATGAACAAAGCACGATCCGACCGGCCACAATTCGAGTTCAAGCGCTTTCAAACGAGAGGAATGATCATAATTACACGAGGATGCGTGAACTGTCTTCCATGCAAAGTCGCGACTATCGCCGTCGACATATGTAGTTAGAACAATGAGTCGCGTGCTCAAGTGCGGCCGATCATTCCAATGGAGTGCAAGCAGGCTCTAGAGGGTCGACGAGGAATATATCGAGGAGCTGGTCGACGGTGGTGTACTCAATTTCGGGATACAAGCACGAAGCTTCGAGGTCGTTCTCGTCTAGGTCGAAGCTCATCAAATCTCCCTTCACGAACACGGAGTGCATGATGGACACCCATATGTTATGCGGGCTCGGCAAGGCTACAATCATCACAAGAGAAATAGTTATTTTCCACGACACATGGTCGTAGATGAGAAACTCGACCGAAACGAACGTTGTAATTGACCCTAATACAGCAGGCAATAAGTCCTGACTTACTCTGGGAGAGCTTGATCATCTCGTCCTCTTGCTTGAGTGCTTTCTCGAAACTCCGACCCGTTTTCTTCTCCCACGACAAGATCAACTCATTCTGAGAGACCACGTTCCCCGGCGGACGGAAAATCACGACACGGTCGCACGTCCTCGGATCATTCGCCACTTTGATCGTGTATTCAGCAATGTCTTGCTCATAATTAAGCACAGCTGACAATATAATAGCGTAGATTCGGTGAAACTAACGAACTACTACTAGCTACTTAGAATATAATCTTAGATAGATATTGCAGGAATACTCTTTGCTTCTCCAGTCCCATAGACAACGAGGTCAGGTCGAGGGTCGTGAGGGTGAAGCAGAAGATTGATGAAGTATGAGGCGCAGCAATTGGCACACACGAAGGTGTAGGGAATGCCAGATGCTTCGATGAGCCTCCTCATCTTCTTCTTCTTATCCAGGCATGCCTGGAATGGCGGGAGGGTGGTGGTCCTGTCCACATCGCACCCAAACTCGGATGGTACGAACCTCTACAACAACAGAAAACAGAAGAAGAAGAAGTTCTTGTTAATATGTATGTGTTCATAGAGCACAAACTACGCCCAGCTTTTTCGAATTCTATTTGGTAAGAAAAGGGTATTTCCTCGATGCATAGAATATTTTCTCTTGCCGGGAAAAGAAGGCTCTTTACCTTTATGTTGCCGGCGGCGATTATGGCATCGACTATATTGATTTGATCGGGAGTGAGAGGATTTGGGAGCGCGGAGATCACGATATCAACCTGTTTGAGCACGGACACCATCTTCTCATGCTCCTCTAGTTCTCCCTGTTTTCATGCATTTCAAAGTTTTAAATCGCAAATCCAATGTTGCTGCGTCAAGTTCGTGGTTGTTGGAAGAATAATTGCATGGTACTTTTTTTTTTGGACAAATCTGCTGGCCATAATTCATGTACAAAAGAAAATCCGATAGATGGTTGCATACGATGGGTAACTTACGGTTGGTCATGTGTAGAGAGAAGATAGATGGCAAAGTACAACACTTATGCAGTATTTTGAGAGAGAGAAAGACCTCGATCAGAGTAACACCGAGTGATCGAAGTTCGTCACGAAGGTGCAGATTGGAGGGAGGCGTTTGAGGGGTGGCTGGCCGAGCGAAGACGAAGGTGGGGTGGCCGAACGACACGCTTGCCCCCACGACATGCTTGCCGAGGTAACCGGTACCTCCGAAGACGAGGATCTTGCTCTTATTGCAACTACTGATCGTGGTCGACATTTCCCTCTCGGTTGATAATGAATAGGACCGATATGCCTATACCATTCTCTTTGCTCCTCTTACCCTACTTATATAGGATCCTGTGCGCGATTGTTAAAACTTGTACTCCACCACGTGTGCTCAATGCGATTAGGTTTTCATTTTCATCTGACGTTTTCTTGTTGGATTCAGTTCATATGTTTGGCAAAGACGTCATTTACCGATACACTCCATTGACAAGATAGTAAGAAAGACAAACATCGAATTTGACCTTTTGTTCTTCAAAAATTCGAGAGAGTGACCGTTGATTTTATTTCGTATTAAACAAAGTCCTGTTACTAATGTACTTCGTTCATAAGATAATGGTGTGTTACATGATTTTATTTTTTTTGGTTTTTAATAAATTTATGCTAGTGACATTTGGATTTTTTTTCCTTGCTAGTTTGTATATCTATGACAAATCCTTTTCCAAATTTATTTCGGTTGAGATGCACATGTGAGTTGTGTTAGAAAATTTCCACATCGAAGAATTGATGTAAAGTGGAGCTGTTACTAATCTTAATTTGCTCATAACTCATTAGTTTAAACTTTTTAGTGAATATAAGTCCATCGAGATATGTTCACGGACTCGGAGTTGGGTTCTCTCTTGACAATCTCCCCAAGAGAAGGTATTGGGCTTCTATTGCAGGTCTGGTGGAGATTCAAGTTGTGGAGAGGTTGTTGAGATGCATGTGTGAAGATTAATATATTTAGTCGGTCCATTACTCATTAACTTAAACTTTTGAGTAAATGTCAAGTTCGGACTTAAGCTCCTCTTGGAGAGCAAAAGATATCGGGCTTCTACTACGTGCTTTATCATCCATTGTATCTGTGGTCATGACCATTCGATTTGTAAGTCTTGGACAATACAATTTCTTTTATCAATTTTATTATGGATCTCATCTGCACACGGTGACAAAATAGATAGAGTAGAACTATTCATAAGCAAGAGATAAATTCATCACTTTAAGTATATCAAGCAAACCCAGTAACAAATGATTAATAAATTGTAATGCGGGACAAACCTTATATTATATTGGATATAGATGTGTAGATATTGCCGACACTATCAACATCATTGTAAATACTTAAAACCTTCACGAAGAAAGAGTTTAATCCAATACTTCCTTTCAGCTTTTGTGATTTTGTTTCTAGGTTCTCTGAGTAATGGAAACTGCTTAAAGTTGCAGGCTTCTTTTTAGCTGGCTAGATTACCCGGCTTTTCTTTCTAGGGTAGTTTATAGTATGAATTTTTTTTTTTGGTAAGTAAAGGGGCAGAGCTCGAAAATTACATCGTTACTCTCCTAACAAAACATGATCCAATCCGATCCCCTAACAATAGAGGGAGCAAACCTATCGGTGGCCTATCTACTACATAATTATCACCCACATTTTTGGGTTGGATAACCGAATTTGCTAGCCAATCTGTACATGCATTTCCTCCATAAAATTATGGAGAATCTTGACCTACTGAAAATACGTTAGCATACTTCCAATTTAAGAAATGAGTGTCATCAAAATGACGCCATGAAGTTGATTTCCGAAATAGAGAAATGGCCGTTTGCAAGTTCGTCTCCATAATAAGTTTGGTAATATCCAAAGAAATTGCCAATTTGAGGCCCAAGAATATGCTCAACAGTTTTGCTTTGAGTGAAGGACACACTCTCACTGCTTGCACGAATCCAGCAAGCCAATTACCCAAGTCATCACGAATAAGTTCACCTAATGAAGCTAGACGAGATTGTCTTGGAGGCCTGTTGGAATTGAGTTTGCCCAACCAAAAGGAGGTTGTCCAACCCACAAACTTATCTCTTTTCTCCCTTTTGACAGATAATCTATTTTCTACTAATCGAGCAGACATAATATCATTGGCATATCCTAAGATCAGATTCACAGGTGTACTTGAAAAGGAAAAGTCTGTCTAGAATAATCTTTGATTCCTCCAATTCCACAAATGCCAACAAGGTACACCAAATCCCAGTGGCTAGTTGTATTCTTTTACCAGGACTGTTGCAGCAGATAGGTTCGCTAACAACTACTTGTGCAAATCAAGAGTAGAAATGACCCCTTAAATTTGTAGGCAAAATCTTCTAGGAAATAGCCTTCGCAAACTTACAATCCCAGAGTATGTGTAAGTGGTCTCAGAGGATTGTGGACAAGAAGCGCAATAGGGATCCGCTATGATTTTCCGATGAAATCTTTCGTGATTAGTAAGTAGGGGCCAGCCACAGAAATCTTCTTATCCTTTGTGGTCCATCCCATTAACTATAGTATGATTTGTCTGCAGTCATCGAGCTATTACGTGCAACAGATTTAGCTTTAGGTGTCTTACAACAGTTTGGGACCTGCCTTTGTTATACCCGCTTCCAGTTACAGTTGGTGAGCCGAAATCATTAGTCATGGTCCTTTCGCAGTAAATAAGTAGATTTGACGAGTCTTTGCGTTGTGTGGTAACCTTGCATTTAGTTAGTTCTTCTCACCAAAACTGTTGAGAATGACTGTGGTTTTCTTTCCGAGTTTGAGCATGTCGGGGTCGAGGCAAGGCGACCATGTTGAAAGTGACAACACCAACTTCAAAGTAAACAAATGGGGTGGGCGCCGCAGAAAAGAAAAATCAAGAATCATGAAGAAGCAACGAGTAAGCTATCGAAGAAAGAAGAAAAGAAAAGCAAAGTTCAACTTGCCAACGTGTCCTTAGACTCGAAGAAAAAGTTACGGCAACCTTCCTTCATATTTGAAGTCCGCAATTGAAGACGGTGAAACTTTTGCCTATAAATAAAGCGAAGGATGAAGCACTTGAAGATAGGCCAAAGAGGGCCTCCTGTAAGAGCTTCAGAATGAGAGAGAAAGAGCACTGTGTGAGCAGGACAAGAAAGAGAGAGTAGCTCTGTGTGAGCGAGTTGTCCGTCCGTGAGCGAGAGGAAAGATAGAAGAGTTGGGAGCGTATTTGTGGGAGCTAGTGTGCTCTAAGGGCTTCATGTGTGGTTTGAGATAATATTATAATAGTGAAAGTGAGACTTTTGGGTTTTATACTAGTACCGCATTTCCACAAATTCAACAGACCACGGACGTGCTATATTATCTGTTTGCCAACCATCTCGATCTTGTGCTTGGATGAGATATTCTAGAGTGTTTGCTTTCCACGGCCTGAGGTTTGTTTCCCTTAGGTTGTTGAACATGAGATAAGGCATTTGGTCTGTGGCCTTCTTGCTCATTCGTAGGTTTGCTAAGGCCCCGGGATCTGTTCGAATGGAATGGTCAGCATTTACAAAGGGCCACTTTTTTAACAGAGATACGCTAGTTGCCATCTTACTTCTTATCGATGCGAGTGTTCCTCCTCAAAAGATTGACCTTGATTGTGCTAATTGATCGGGACGCAACAAAGAATGATGCTTTCTTAATATCTTAGTTGTAGAACGTAACATTCAACAGTGGCTGAATGTAGATGAATGTACTCTTCTCCACTTGTTTAGATACCTCTAACCTTCGTCTTACGAGGTGCGACAAGATGAAGGGAGGAAAGAGGCCTGATGAGAATATAAGGAGCTTTCAAGAAGGGATTAGGGAAAACTACTAGGAGCATCCGCCGTGGATCATGACCAGCAGTGTCACCGGTTTAGGAAGAGACGAGCTTCCCTTGCACATGTCCCAGCTTAGGAACTACTGGGGACCGATAGAAGGGACCAAACAATTCCCATATAATACCTCCATAAAGTCAACTTCAACCTTTATTTGCAGGCGTTTGCTATCATCCACATTCTTGAGATAACCCATGTATAGATTGAAATGTTTTGGATATTTTAAACCTCTTTGTGATGGTGTTGGTGTACTCTTAATTTGTATAATTCATTCATTCATGAATAATCCTTCTTACGTCCGACCTCATTCAAGACATTTATTACATTGGTCATCACAGATGAAGAGTGGTCAGTTTTTACCCTTCTGAGTGTCCGGCTTAGGCATGGAGCGCTATTAAAAAGGCAAAGCAATGTGCAACCAGACCAGGACTGTTGAAATGCTTGAACCAGATCAAGGCACAGAGAGAGAGAGAGAGAGAGAGAGAGAGAGAGAGAGAGAGAGAGAGATTTTAGGCTGTAGCTGCTGCATGCTCCTCAACAACTTGTGATGTTGGAAGGAGGGAGCAGATCAGGTTGCGGTCACCAAACGCATTGTCAATGCATCCTGGTAGAAAGTTGAGCAGCACACAAGAAGAATAATCAGTTCATTTTGTTGTTTCTTGGCAGGGAAACACTGGAAACGGAATGAATAAATATTCCAAATACCTGCCACCCTTGACTTTGTTATCCTCAAACTCACACTCTACAAGATTTCTATACCCATCTTTGAAGATGGTGGTAGTTGAGGAGAGGTGGTATATATATGCCCATGATCATCGATCATAACTCTAAATTTCAGCTTTAAAAAAAAATTGGAAAGAAATGTATCCCTTGAATCAAGCTTGGAGAACTGATTAAATGGAAAAATTCTGGAGATATTACAAGGCAAAGGAGGCAGAATAACAAGAATGACCAGAAACTCTATGAATATGCAATGGGTAGCAGCTAGTTAGCATCCACTGATATTAACAGCATAAGCTATGACTATAGTATCTATTTTGTGATAACACGAAGATGAAATTCCGTGTACCTGACAACAAATTACATTTAACTTAGTTTATGGATAACGAAGTCTAGGGGGGCAGCTATTTGGACTGTTTATCATGTCTGTTTCCAGTGTTTGAGGATAACACGAAGATGACATTCCATTGCATATTCATAGAGTTTCATTCTTTTGCATTTATAAGCTTACATGTTAGCTCACATTCTGGGATTTTTTGCGTTTATAAGCTGCCACACAACATGAGAAATTTAAGCAAGCCAAAAGCCAGGTGCTTAAAGCTCACCCATAACCTGGCAATTCCACATTTAACTCTTGTTCATTCCACACAACATGAGAACTCTTTTTCACCAAGAAGTGACTTATAAGCTGAGTCTTGCCTGCAAAATACATCAGTCAATCAGCCCATCCCTCGCGACCAAAGTAAAG